CATTCTAAAAAGTTGATAACAATCCAGCTGGCTAGAAAAACGAACGAGGATGAAGATAACACACGAACAGATTTGTGTCGAAGTTGACCTTTCCTTTTGATAGGAAATAGATAGTTTGAACATATTGTTTTCATGTTGTTCTCGAATTTAGTGCCGCGAAGACGCGTTAAAATTATGGTTGTTATTATTAACATTAATATTCAAAATTCAATTAATAAATATAAGTGGTGTATATTTAATGTGGTTTGTTTGAAACTGACTCCAGAAATACATAAGTAAAATATGAAACAGTAGATAACTTATGAGGTATGTAGTAGTACTTTTATTACTGTATTTAAATATCGATTTTTTGTTGCTTTTTATATTTTTTCGAACAGTAATACTTAATAGGTATCACATGAACTCAAAATAATTTTATTTATTTATTATCTTTAGCGTCTCTTTATCAAAATAAGTGACTATTAAATGAATAAAATCGACAACCTCCAAAATTTGAATAAATAAAAAAATGTGAACAGATATAATTCATTGTTTACCACAGGTTATCCGAACTTTTACGGGACATAGTACCTATTAATCAAACCTTGGTAAAATTCTAGTATGTACGAATCCCATGTTTCCCGAGGATTTTGTTCTTGATCTTCATCAGTCCAGGGATTTTCCTGTCTAAAAGTCTAAAACAAAAGCTAATTAAAGTTGATTTTATAGGTTCTTAAACAACAAATTCTTATAAACAGTTTTTGGTTTCGATTTAAACTTAATCTGAAACTAAAATTTTCATATGTTTGTTCTCAGTGGAGAAAATAATATTTTAAACCAAATGAACTAGATTTCATGGTGTTTTTTTTCTTCCAGATTACTCATGTGCTCTCATAGGGGATATTCTTCTCCAAGGGCATCTTTACATAACGAAAAACTACTTTGCTTTCTACTCAAATGTCTTCGGATACGTCACAAAGGTAATTGTTTTTAATTTTTTATTTTCAAATATGCGTTACGCACTAATAAATTCTAATTACAATGGCATCTGCTATAGATATTTTTAAATTGAAATATTATGAGACTGAATCAACAAAGCAAATTATTTAATTTATTTGTTTCATAGTTTTAATGCTGTTTTAGATTTTTTTTAATTAAAACTTTATAATAAGTATGTTGTTGGTGCAATGTTTACTGCTTATGAATGTTTGAGTTAACTTAATCTAAAAAAACTCGCAGGGTGGTTAATGAGCATGTCGCCTTTGCAGTGTTTCTGAATTACTGTGCAAATGACTTTTGCTTTGTTCGTTAAAAACAGTGGCATAGCGTGAGTTTCCACCACCCAAGTCCCGGGGCGCATCCCAAAGCCGCTTTCCCCTTTTTGACAATAAATATTTTTGTATTTAAATTGGTCGGCATTGAAAATATGTACTTAAAAATTTATATTTTTAAGTTAGCGTTTTAGCAAATAAGTAACGTTTATTATTAACGTAAATTGAAAGTGTATAGGCATTTTTATAAATAGGAATCTTCCTTATTAGACTTATGTTAAACAAGAATAAGAAATACTCAAATTTGCCTTTTTTACCTTACGCTATAACGTAAACCAATTGGGTTCGACTATTCGACTCTCATTGATTATGAATTACTACTACAAAATTTGGTATCTTTACTCACTAAATGCCTTGGAGCATAGCACAAATTATTAAAAATCTAGCCACCCCCATATTTGCGCCATCTGGGGTCATGGCACCCTTTGTCAATGAGAAAAAGTCTTGTGAATCTTCTGTGGAAGGTTTAAAATATGACCTTTTCCAAGATTGACTTATTACAATACGTTTATTTGTTACCTTTATATTCGAATTGATTTAAATACTTATTTTCGACGACCATTAAAATAATTGTGGTCCAATTTTGAAGAAGTGAATTATTGTGTATATAAATATTGACTGCTGAAGCCGTGCAAATTAAAAGCAAGAAGTTAATAAAAGGAATACTAAGAGCTAATGTAGATTACAGACATCAAAGTAATAACTCAGGCGTAGGGTCTTATTGTTAGCACGTGGTGAAGGATTAAATCAATAAAATTAAACTTAAAGTTTCGAAAATTGAGATTTTATTAGAGAAAAAAAGATTAATATCATGAATTGATGTATCCAGTGGTTAAATTAAATGTTTTTTATCACCCTACTGTGATGTCTAGAATCTACATGCTCCATATGCCCTATTAGTTGCGTATCAGCTTCCACAGTGCCTATTTATATCCCTACATAATTCGGAAATTTCGGAAACAATGTTTATCGGTTTGAAACAAGAAGAAGTAAGTGTTTAGCAAGACGTGAAGAAATGCAAAATTTTTGAAAACAAGAACTGAATTTTTCTGTCCATATAGAAGATAACGAACAAAAATAAAGATAAAAAAAATATAGACAGTGGCGTAACTGGCGAAGTGGCGCACGCTGAAAGTGCTGCCCCAATCCTGTGATAAAAATTAAACGAATTCCAGTTCGGGACGGACACTATTTGCCGTTCCTGAGTGGTGGCAATGTGCCGCCGCCTGGAACGGGCCGCCCTCCGCCCTATTTACGCCACTTAAGTCGAAAAAAGAAAAGAAACTTACAATGACTAAATGTGAAGATTAGTATAATAAAATAGTAGTAGAAAAGAAGGAAGAAGGAGTAAGTTTGTTTGGATCTTGTAAGTGAATTCGTTTTTTGATTTTTTTTGCATTTTCTTTTCCAGTTACTCATTCCACTTTTGACCGTGGAAAAGATCACGAAGGAGAGAACGGCTAAAATAATACCCAACGCGGTTGGCGTTGTGACAAGTGAAGACAAACATGTGTTTGGCAGTTTAATGTCCCGTGATAACACATTCCGGCTTATGATTAAAGTTTGGGACGCAGCAAGAAACAGTGCCATGCAAAACAGTCTTCATGTCGAAGAGGAGTTATTGGTAAGTTCATGTATTCATTATTTACAATTTTCGACACAGTGATGTTGAACAACCACTCAAAATCGTGGACTACGGAATGATATAGGGGCGGAATATAAAGTGTGAATATAGAAAAAGGTAGCGAAGCTCTAAATTCTTCGGGAATATTAAATTCGGAATAAGCGTCGGAGAACATTCTTCTGCCGCCTACCTCCCCTCCTGGCCAGCAAATCTCCGCAAAATTATTTTAAATGAGACCTTATATCTTCTCAACAAACCTTTAAAAGACTAAACATTATTCACAAAATGTATCAAACAAAAAAAAAATATCATTGAATAATAATGCAACTTTTTTGACTTTTGAGTCTAACCTTTATAAGATTTGTTGCATGTCCCACAATTAGGTTTGTATGTACCTATCTGATTTGCATTCTTCTTCTAGTAAGGTTTTTATTGTATTTTACATTGCCTAAGGAGTTATTGGTTCCAAATGATATAGAGGAGTCAGTAAATTTTGAAGTATGTGTGGCTGTAGATGCAGAATATCGTCTAATTCCTTGTTGAAATCGTCTTCAAGCAAAGTTAGCAATATATGAAGACTTGAATAGACTGAAGTATTTCATGTGTTAAATAAGGGCTGAATCGATAACACAGCTTTCATACGTGATAAACACGTAAAACAATTAATAAGAACGTTTATGTTCTTGATGATGAGAACTGAAAAGATCGAAATCGTAATTCGATTTTGGTCATCATCATCATAAGGTCGTCAGTCCTAAGACTGGTTGGACACGAACCTCGATTT